ATGTTCAATTTTTGTTAATGGTTTGAAAGTAAGGGACAATATTTTAGAAGTAAACAGCATTAATTATAAAGTCTCAACGATCGATGAAATTCATTCAATTGTGCGATTTTTTAAAGAATCAAATGTTTGTGTAGGACAATGTACTAAAGGAAAGTATGTTATTTATTTGAATAATAATATTTTGTTTATTAACATTATTTATAATATATTATAGGGTTTGAATATGCAACTTACTTAAGAGGTGACTACCTATACTCGAATTCTCTGGGTCCAGAAAATAATCATAAGATAATCACGAATTTAGAAAATAAGAGCTCAATGATGAAGCTTATCGCAAGGTCGGCTGCAATCTTCTTGTCTTAGGTGGCAACGTATGTGCAAATTGTAGAATATTGCGCAATACACTATATCAAATTGAAAACCGATATAAAAATGGTGTCCAATCTATTAAGACATCACATGCTTCCAGAGAAGTTTTAGCCGAAATTGTTCAAAAAGCACGAAAAGTATTTATTTTAAGTTAATTTCAATTCAATAAATTATACTCATTATTAAAGAAATATTATTATCTCAAACAATCCAATCACAGAAAGAGTTAGTCGATAGTCTTTGTGATCGGTTAAGACTAAAATTCGAAGCAGAGGAAGAACAAGCATCAGAACCATTAACTAGCATTGTTCACAATGTTGTTGATGAAGTTTTGAGCAAACAATATGAGGACATATCAAATATTATTTTAAAAGAGCTGATTAATGTACAAAGTAAAAAACCAAAAAGAATAAGATATCATCCTATGTATATGAAACATGAAGACATTTTTAGCAAAAAAAAAAAAAATACTAATTATGTTACTTTAGATTTATTCAGTGGGCAATTTCCATTTATAGCAGAAGTCTAGCTACATATAAAGCAATGAAATCAGTCATTCGAATATCATCGTTATCAATACTCAAAAACTATATTAATGAGACTGATCAAGGTACAGGCTGGCAAGACAAGGTAGTGAGACGAATGGTATCTAATATAGAGGCAAATGGTTATGCACGTATTAGTTTCTTCTCACATGATTCATTTAAAATTCAAAAAGGTAGGTTAGAATAAAAAAAATAAAATAAAAAAAATAAATAAATAAAAAATACAAGAAACTTATAAATTTTATTATTTCAGGACTTTTGTGAGTCAACGTGACAATAAATATGTTGGATACATCGACTTCAATAATGAGAATGCTGAACTTGAAGCATTTGGCGAACAATGTCTTTATGATGTTTAGAGTTCAAAGCATATGAATAATCATACTGAATATAATAATGATAATGAAAAAGACCGTAAACGAGTTTTAGCAGTTCAAGTGCATCAAATTGTATGGCATTCAATATCTCATTCTTTTAACTTTCTGATAGCTTACTTCAGAGTTGAAACAATAAATGCCCATACTCTCAATACAATTATTTTTCATCTGGCTGCCAAGCTTGAATATGTAGGAATTCATACATATAGCTCTATTTGTGATAGTGCAGAGGAAAATAGAAGGCACATTAAGAGTTTTGATTGGTTTGCGATGACTTGGAAGGTGAATGATAAAGTAGAAGTTCAGTTGTCAAATAAACCAGGAAAAAAAAGCTATCAACCAGCTAAAATTATCTCTTTTAATCCAGAACACTCCAAATTTTTAATTCAACTTTTAGACTCCATACAAACTTATTATAATATTTTATATTCATCCTTACGGTCTCCAATGCCAACTAAAATTATTTGAAATATTAATGACCAATGTGAAGTTTGAAGCACAATTAATAATGAATAGTATTTTGGTAAAATACTTACTGAAATCTCAGCAGATAATTATTTTGACATTGAGGTTATGATTGAAAATAATAGAAACATTGAATCATTTATATGGAAATCGCTATTTAGTGATATTCGTCTTGTATATGATGAAAATGAACATTGGGTATCGCATCTGGCTATTAATCCTGTAACTGGCAAAACATAGTTTTTTTTAAATGATTCAACTTATATTTTCAAAAAGTTAAGAAATAATGTTTCTAAAAGCCATACTAGCAATGGTGAAAGCAAGAATGTAAGAAAAATAATGTTTGATGAGTGGGAAATTAGCTGGCGGTATTTTCGAGGTGTATATTATCATACGACAAAACACATGATGGCAAAAGCTACCAAGTTGACAAAGTGACATATATGGCTTACCCCTTGGAGTAAAATTAGAGTAGACCTTGTGGAGCATACGCTATCGTTTGATATTAAAAGAGCAATGGCAAATATTCTAGAGTTAAGCTATATTTCTCAAGGCACCCAGGTTTTTTTTTTTTTTTAAGTTACAATAGTGATTCTTTTTTAAATTTAATAAAAAATCTATATAAAAAACTTAGTACTTCGAGTCAAAGTGTCCCAGTAGTTGAAATAGATTTTTATTTGATTTAAAGACTATGATATTTTTATTTATTGTTACTCATCTAATATATGTTTATATTATTATTAGTTATTTATTCACTATGCACGTATATATCGAGACATTACACATAGTCAGATATGTATTTCTTCTCTAGAAGATCCATGTTTGAACACTTTGAAAGAAATAAAATGATGGTTCATTCAAGGTGATAAATATAAAAAAAACTCAAGTCAGTGGTTTTCTGCCCAGTGTCAATTTGATTTGATTTTATCAATCAATAGATTTCTTGGGATTGTAGAATATATACTCATCAATTGGCCAGGTGTTATGATTCAACTGAGAAGAGTTTCTTAGGATATGCTTGAGGGTTTATTTGAAACAATCAAAGAAATGGGTGGTGATTCTTCTACGCAAACTGTTCAATCCTATGGGTATGTGATAAACAAATTAACAATTACAATACAAATGATATCAGAAATAAAAAGCTTGAATTATGGTTCAGCTAACGGTTTAGGCATGCTCACTAATTTAAAACGAAGATAATTTTTATTTATACAAACTTACCAATAAACTTAAATTAATTTTTTTATTTTTTTTTTATTTTTATTTTTTTTTTTATTTTTTTTTATTTTTTATTATTTTTTATTTTTTATAGAGATTATCGAACAATTTTACGATCTAATGAGCAAAATTTAAACTCATATCATTGCTATAAAGATAGAGTTGAGATACTTCCACTTTTAGTCGCCAAATATTCCAAGAGCTTCTTAATGATAATTTGGTAATGGGACGAATACAGCTACCACTATCCTCGAGTAATGAAAATATTAGAATAGAAAATACAACTATTAATTGCTTGCAGCTTGAAAGAGCGCGGCTGATTGAATTTTTATTATATGAAGAAGGTGTTGAAGATTTTTTAGTAACTTTGTCAGAAAAAATTTGTCAAATGGCATTAAATTCTGTTCTATTAAAAAAAAGCACACAATGGCTCACAACATGGTCAACAAATCTGGAAAATAGATTAAATAATTACAAATGCGCGGGTGACTGGTTTAATAACTTTTAGTTGTTGGCTCCAAATAATATCAGTATAGAAACTCAATGATTGGTAGCTTATATGCTACTTGAAAAAACTATAAGAATTACGTTTAAACAAGCACATAGTGAACAATATCATAGTCAGCTCATTTTGAATTATACAGAATCGTGGACTGTACCTAAAAAAATCATTAGCTTAAAACTGGCTGAGGTATCAAAGTTCTAATATATTATTGGATAGACTATATATAAATTGACTAAAAATAATCAACTTACATTAGCACATAAAAAGTTTACAAAAATTATATCATGCCTGAATGTTCTTAGCTTTGAAGATATAGAATATGTATGTGATACTCGTTCAAAGATGACAACGATTATTCCAGGGGCCGATTTTATTCAATTTATGTATTATTTAGAGTCACTCATCCTTCAGTTATTTGAAAAATATATTGAATATGGTCCAAATATTTTAATTTACATCAACAATAATCTCTTAAGCAATCAACCTTTAAAAGAGCAGTTTAATAACCTTTTGCAAATAGCATATAAGATTCAATCTGAAAATCAAAAATTACTTTCAAAATCTATATATGACCATATTCAATTATCAAAAGAGACTGAGGACTATCTATTGGCACGCTTGATCAAGATTTATATGAGAAGTAGACAACGATCTTGGCAACAATTTAAAGAATATATTCCAGAAAAAGGTTCATCTAGCTTACGAGAGAATGTCAAGGCAATGAATTCAGATTTAAAAAATGATGCAACAAAAGAGAATAAGCTGAAAATAAAGTCCATTATATTTAAGAAAGAG